CCGTCTACGAGAAGATGTTCAACTGGATGGTGACCAGGATCAACAACTCGCTGGAGACCAAGCAGCCCCGGCAGTACTTCATCGGCGTCCTGGACATCGCCGGCTTCGAGATCTTCGATGTGAGGCCACCACAAGGCGGGGGGTGGACACCACCTTTCTTGGGTCTTGAGATGGTCCCGTTGGGTTTTGAGATGGTCCCGTTGGGTCTTGAGTGGATCCCGTTGGGTCTTGAGTGGATCCCGTTGACCCAGTTGGGCTTTGGGTTGGTCCCGTTGGGCTTTGAGATGGTCCCGTTGGGTTTTGAGATGGTCCCGTTGGGTCTTGAGTGGATCCCGTTGACCCAGTTGGGGTTTGGGTTGGTCCCCTTGGGTCTTGAGATGGTCCCGTTGGGTCTTGAGATGGTTCCGTTGGGTCTTGAATTGGTCCCCTTGGGTTTTGAGATGGTCCCGTTGGGTCTTGAGATGGTCCCGTTGACCCAGTTGGGCTTTGGGTTGGTCCCATTGGGTCTTGAGATGGTCCCGTTGGGTTTTGAGATGGTCCCGTTGACCCAGTTGGGCTTTGGGTTGGTCCCGTTGGGTCTTGAGATGGTCCCGTTGGTTCTTAAGATGGTCCCGTTGGGTCTTGAGATGGTCCCATTGGGTCTTGAGTTGGTCCCGTTGACCCATTTGGGCTTTGTCTTGGTCCCGTTGGGTCTTGAGATGGTTCCGTTGGGTTTTGAGATGGTCCCGTTGACCCAGTTGGGCTTTGGGATGGTCCCGTTGAGTCTTGAGATGGTCCCGTTGGGTCTTGGGATGGTCCTGATGGGTCTTGAGATGGTCCCCTTGGGTTTTGAGATGGTCCCGTTGGGTCTTGAGATGGTCCCGTTGGGTTTTGAGATGGTCCCGTTGGGTCTTGAGTGGATCCCGTTGGTCCCGTTGGGTCTTGAGATGGTCCCAATGGGTTTTGAGATGGTCCCGTTGGGTTTTGAGATGGTCCCGTTGGGTCTTGAGTTGGTCCTGTTGGGTTTTGAGATGTTTCTGTTGGGTCTTGAGATGGTCCCGTTGGGTTTTTAGATGGTCCCGTTGGGTCTTGAGATGGTCCCGTTGGGTTTTGAGATGGTCCCGTTGACCCAGTTGAGCTTTGGGATGGTCATTGGACCTTCAGTTGACCCCGGCCATCCCATTGGCCGTTGGGTTGACCCCTCCCTCCCTCCCCTTCCAGTTCAACAGCTTCGAGCAGCTCTGCATCAACTTCACCAACGAGAAGCTCCAGCAGTTCTTCAACCACCACATGTTCGTGCTGGAGCAGGAGGAGTACAAGAAGGAGGGCATCGAGTGGGAGTTCATCGACTTCGGCATGGACCTCCAGGCCTGCATCGACCTCATCGAGAATGGGTCTTGTTGGGTTTTGAGATGGTCCCGTTGGGT